ATTGGCCCCCAAGGTCTCCCGATCTGACCCCCTTAGACTTTTATCTTTGGGGTCATCTGAAGGCAATTGTCTATGGTGTGAAGATACGAGATGTGCAGCACCTGAAACTACGGATACTGGATGCCTGTGCTGGCATTTCTCCTGCGGTGTTGCTATCAGTGTGTGAAGAGTGGGAGAAGAGGGTTGCATAGACAATCCAAAACAATGGGCAGCACATTGAACACATTTTATAAGTGGTCAGAAACTTGTAAATAAAGTTACGTTGAAACCAAGCAAACCATTGTTTTTCTTGTGACATTACCAATACATTTGAAGAAACAAAAGTTGTATCCAAGATGGCTGACTTCTAAATGGCCACCATGGTCACCACCCATCTTGAGGAGTTTTCCCCCTCACATATACTAATGTGCCACAAACAGGACTTTAATATCACCGACCATTCCCATGTTGTTACGGTGTATCCATATAAATGGCCCACCCTGTATTTAAATATGTGTAAGTTGTTGTTCTGAAGTGCAGCTATCATATTAGGAGTAGATAGTAGCAGTGAGCATGCTCTGAGCTGCAAAATAATATATCTGAATTTTAGTTAAAATATTTATTTTGCCACTCAGTGCATTCTTGATGTTTATAAATTAAGAAGGTTTATAAGTTTCTACAGCAAAAAAAAAAAATCATATTTACATCTAAGGGGTTGAGTTTTACTGTTTTATTTTATGTCCTTTACAATCTCTAGCACCAGTTCATCTATAGGGTTTGCTCAGTCCTTCCATTTCGTGAAATGTTTAAAATGCTCCTTGTTATTTGAGGGTGCACAGATCCTGAGGCAGAAACCCTTGGTTAACGGGAAAATGATGACTGTGATGATTCTTATCATCTGTGACTGGAATTTTAAGTTTTGTCAAACCAGCTAATACAAAAAAAGCCTGGCAATGTTGAACTTGTTGTGGAAGCCACTCCCAGTTTAAGTTCAGGAGACAGACACCTTCTCTACTTTCAAGATCAGCTTCAAACTTTCCTTTTTGTTAAAGCTCACAGTTAGAGCTGGCTTAGGTGATTTTGTTCATTGTTCACAAATGGTTGTTGTTTTGCGCATCTGCAGTCTGTCAGGCTGTCTGATCACAGAGGAAAGCTGTACTTCTCTAACCTCAGCTGTGAGCTCCAACCCTTCCCATCTGAGAGAGCTGGACCTGAGCTACAATGATCCAGGAGACTCAGGAATGAAGCTGTTGTCGGCTGGACTGAACGATCCATGCTGGGGACTGGACACACTCAGGTATGGAGAGAATGTCTGATATTTGCTTCATGCACGTGACACGAACTGATCAACAAGCAATATATATGTATGAGGTGTCTAGTGAGAGCATTTCCAGAAACAATTTGTAAATATCTCAATATATTTACAGCGAAAATTATATTAATATTTGAATAGAGAGGCACAGGACATACTTATCCTAGATTAAAACAACTATTGGAACCTTTTGAAACTGTTAGCCTCACTTCATTTATTTATGGCAAATGGCCTGAATTTGTATAGCACTTTAGGCAAGGCAAGGCAAGTTTATTTGTATAGTACAATTCAACAAGGTGATTCAAAGTGCTTTACAGAGACATTAGAAACACAAACAGATAAAAAGCATGATTTAAAATTGATTAAAACAAGCAAACAAACAAGCAAACAAAACAGTATATAAAATCAAAACAGATAAAATCAGAACAGTAGATAAAATCAATAGTTAAAATGTAAGTTTTGAAATTTAAGCTTAAGTGCGCATTTGGTGCTTTATTCAAATGCAGCTGAGAACAGGTGAGTCTTCAACCTGGATTTAAATAAACTGAGTGTGTCAGGGGTTGACATTTGTACAAACACAAGT